TTGAAATAATATCCATGTTCACTGTTTCTCCTTTAGCTTTTCCTATTCCCTCCTAAATCCTCTGTAATCTGGATTCTATTCCTACTCTTCAACTAAAACTGTGTTTTCTGAGGCCACCTATGACTTCCTTATTTCTAAATACTGTATATCCTGGGACTTATCTGGTTTTTGACACTGTTGATAATTACTGGAAGCTCCTTAATGGAATTATTTTTTTTATCTTGATGAGCCCCAGGCTTGCCACTGATAAATAAATAAATGAAGGATATTTAGTATATTGGAGTAAGGAGCAAGAGGAGGCAGAATGACCCCTGGTCAGTCCCCTTCTTACCCTGTGGAGGGAATACCTTTTCCATGGATACTTCCCTATGTAATCCAGGCCCCAATCTGTGTGATGCCAGGGATGCAGCTGTGGGCCAGTCACTCCCAGGGCATTGTGTAGGCCTTATGGAACCTGTACTAATAACTTTATAACTAGCAAAGTATATTGCTTAATATGTACCTAGTGCTCACATGTACTAACTTATTTTAGCCTCACAAGAACCTTTGACAAAGGTATTAATATTAGTTGCATTTTACAGATAAGGAAACTGAAAGCCAGATTGCACAGCTAGTAAATGGAGGAGTGAAGTTTTTTTTTTTAATGGATTAATGAGTTGAATTTGTCAAAGCTGATAATACCCAAGATCTCACTACATTATTTTCTCCACTTTTGTGTAAGTTGAATAATCTCCATAATAAAACATTTTTAAAGGACCAGATTGTATTAAATTAATGGATTTTTAAAATATTTTATTTTTAAGTAATCTCTACACCCAACATGGGGTTCAAACTCACAACCCTAAGAATGAGAATCACTCACCCTACCAACTAACCCAGACAGGCACCTCAAATCAATGGATTTTAACTTTGTTGTTGTTGTTGCAACAGAACCCTTTCTCCAACCAAAAATTTGTAGAAAGGCTGGTATATAAGTGAAATAAAAGAGGATCTTCATTCTCCCTATTATTGCTTCCCCCTTGCACTCAGCCCTGCCCAAGGCACAGGGTTCAGGGAACACAGTTTAATGAAAATTAAACTGGACCAGACTAGCTCTAAGGATTCTTCTGGCACTTTTGCCTTCCTCTAATTATATTGGCTTTGCACTGGCCATTAGCCTATATATGCTGTCCCAGAAACAGTGAGACTGGGCTATTAATCATTTCTGCAGTCTGTGGAGAATTTATTTGAAGGGTTGCAGAAACACGGGTTGTTGTTAGAGATGCATTTCAATGTCTGTCTCCACTGAGTGTTTAATAATCTTGCTAATCCCCACTCTAGTTCCTGGATCTAGCTAACTCCTGTCAGATGTCCTTGGGGGGCATTTTAAATTCTCCCTGATTTTTTGGAGCCAGACGTTTCCTTCTGCCTGGATTCTCTCTGATACTTAACATTCATGAATATTTCACATTTAACCTGATTACATTTCCATGTGATGGTCATGGTGCATTGGCTGTGTTTCTCAGGGAAAACATACAGGAAGTCCACAGTAAAGACTTGAATGTTCAGGCACAGTGCCAGAGATCTTTGTTCTTGCCATGAAGATGGCCTTCTATCATGGACAGTGATGAGGAGATGCTGAATGGTAGGCTTTGCATGGGACTTCTCAAGCCCAGGGCTCTCTCTACACCCTAGTTTATGACCCACAGGAACTGGCAGTTTCCCTCAGGGATCAGAAGCCACCAAGACCTGTCCAATGGCATGGAGGACCAAATGTGGGTCCCTGTAACTAGAATTGCTCAACAGCTTCTCAGCCCTCACTCAGACCCTATCCTTCCTGCATAGTCTCCCTCCAATGTTACCATTCCTACTCGGTGGTACCTCCAGCCTGAGAGAAGCAACTCTTATGAACTCATCTGTACTAAAGAGGAAAAGGTTAGCCTTACATGCCTGAGGGACTCACGTGTGGGTTTTGTTGTTGTTGTTTGTTTTTTGTTTTGTTTTTGTTTTTGTTTTTGTTTTTGTTTTGAGAGAGAGAGAACATGAGGTGGGGAGGCGCAGAAGGAGAGGGAGAAGCAGGCTCCCTATTGAGCAGGGAGCCCAATGCAACCCTTGATCCCAGGACCCTGAGATCATGACCTGAGCAGAAGGGAGACACTTAACTGACTGAGCCACCCAGCACCCCTGAAGGGCTCATGTGTTTAAAGTCAGCCCCAAGGAAAGGACAGTGAAGCTTGCATGAATGGATGGGGTAGAGGGTTCCAGAGAAGATACCAGATTGGGAAGGCCATAGATTTAGAAGTCACTAGTGTAAAAATGTTACTCTAAACTGTAAGAAACATTAGGGCTCCCCAAAGTGAGAGGTAGACTGAGGGCCAAAAACTGCTGAAGAGACACAGGGCTGTGGGAGGAGTAAAAAATGATGGTTAAAGAGGCAACATAGGCCAAGGATCACAGTGTCCTCAAAGTCAGAAGAGGAAACCATATCCAAATGGATATGGTATGTATGACATGTGAGAAATGGTACAGAAAAAGTAATGTGACTAAGGGAATTGGAAAGGTGCCAGTACTTCACTGGTGGGATCCCACAGGCATGTTTATGGGCTTTACCCTTTGAAAAGTCATCCCTCAGGCTGCTTTGGAAATAAGTCCTACCTGTTGCCTAAGGGGAAAACCAGAACCCAGCTGTCAGGTCTTCATGCCCCCTGTAGGTAGCACCTCAAGGTTGTTTTGGCTGCAGAGAAGCCTGCTTCTCTAAGTCTGCATGGGACAAGTGCTATCCATTAGGAATCTCGCAGGAGGAACTCAGACAAGGAGGCAGAGAATAAAGGATTGGAGAGGACTGTAGCATGAGGCACCACCTGAGATGCACTGAGGCACTGCAGCACCCCACTTTTTCTGAGCCCTGTCCCCTACAATTCCAGCTAAGTGGGGTAGGTTCAGAGCAGAGGACAGAGGCCCAGATTCTGCCCTCAGGAACTCACAAACGACTGTGGCAACAGAGTCTACCCAAGGTCTTACACTCTGGCTAGCCTGAAGGAACACGGGCAAGGCTAGGATTTCACTCCCAAACATTCTAGACTTTTTCCTTTCCCCTTAATGACAAGCATGTTTTTTTTCCTAATAAATTAATTTTTATTGGTGTTCAATTTACCAACATACGGAATAACACCCAGTGCTCATCCCGTCAAGTGTCCCCCTCAGTGCCCGTCACCCATTCACCCCCACCCCCCGCCCTCCTCCCCTTCCACCACCCCTAGTTCGTTTCCCAGAGTTAGGAGTCTTTATGTTCTGTGTCCCTTTCTGATATTTCCCACACATTTCTTCTCCCTTCCCTTATATTCCCTTTCACTATTATTCATATTCCCCAAATGAATGAGAACATACACTGTCTTTCTCCGATTGACTTACTTCACTCAGCATAATACCCTCCAGTTCCATCCACGTTGAAGCAAATGGTGGGTATTTGTCTACATAAACCACATCTTCTTTATCCATTCATCTTTCAATGGACACCGAGGCTCCTTCCACAGTTTGGCTACTGTGGACATTGCTGCTAGAAACATCGGGGTGCAGGTGTCCCGGCGTTTCATTGCATCTGAATCTTTGGGGTAAATCCCTAACAGTGCAATTGCTGGGTCATAGGGCAGGTCTATTTTTAACTCTTTGAGGAACCTCCACACAGTTTTCCAGAGTGGCTGCACCAGTTCACATTCCCACCAACAGTGTAAGAGGGTTCCCTTTTCTCCGCATCCTCTCCAACATTTGTTGTTTCGCCTTGTTAATTTTCCCCATTCTCACTGGTGTGAGGTGGTATCTCATTGTGGTTTTGATTTGTATTTCCCTGATGGCAAGTGATGCAGAGCATTTTCTCATGTGCATGTTGGCCATGTCTGTGTCTTCCTCTGTGAGATTTCTCTTCATGTCTTTTGCCCATTTCATGATTGGATTGTTTGTTTCTTTGACAAGCATGTTTTTATCTCTACTGCCTCATTCTAAAGGGAACAGAAGCCATCATAATGGTTCTATGTCCTTCCCTTGCTTGGTCACTCAGATCCCTGGGCCTGACACTGTAGGGCCAATTCTGGAGCATTCTACCTGTCTGTCTGCTGCCTGCATCCCCAGAGGCAGAACAGGCAGCCTTGGGTCCATTCTGCAGTTCTCAGGCCTTGGGCTTACTATTCTTTAATCCTAGGCAGATGCCTAGAGTGGCAGTATCTGTATCGGTTTCTCAAGGAGAGTGTGCATGATTCCAGCCCCTTCCAACTGACTAAAGTAGGATTGGCCAGGGCCCTGGACCTTGTAGCAGAGGTTTGAGGTGTTTTGGAGGAAACAATGAGGCTAGATTACTGAGCAGCACAGGACTAACTGATCACCAGTTCGTTTGCCATTATTCATCTTCTCACCTACCGTATCCAGCAAACCTTTCAGGAGACATTCTTTATGACTCATCTGTGAAACGAAGAGAAGTCCTCATGAGGACTCTTTTGTCCGTTGGCTGCAGCCTTGAAGTCTGGCCTGGCTTGGCCAGTCAGTTCTCTAGACCTGGCAAAGAGACCCATCCAATGCTAGGAGAAAACAGAAGCAGAAGGTCTGTCTTAGGGGGCATCTACTCTGCCCTTAATCCAGACTTAAACTCACAGGAACCTAGAAAGACCTTTCCAAACAAGTATACAGGAAGACCCCTGAGGAACAGGGCAACTAGTATGGGAAGTTGGACAAGGAGATTCTGTGGGTTTAAGGAATCACAGTAGGCTTTCTGGGGTGAGGCTGGCTCACACAGGTCTTTGAAGACAGACACCTAGGTAAGCGTAAGTGGGGCTGAAACCTGTGGCTCTTTTACCCAGTTCGGGGTCTTCCTTCCAGCATATATGGATCTGCCCTTCCCTCCTTGAATCGCTTGTCTACTGCCAAGGGTTAATGCTTCCAGAGGACAAGTGGAAAAAACAGCTTTAGGGCTGAGAGCAGCCCCATGTATTCACTTCCTAACAATTCTCTGTCTCTCTGCTTTCTTCCCACAGGACCCAGCCGCCGCCTCTATCTCAGACGGGGACTGTGACGCCCGGGAGGGTGAGTCAGTAGCCATGAATTACAAACCATCCCCGCTCCAAGTGAAGCTGGGTGAGTGTGTCCGGGGGCTGAGGGAGATGTGGGGAGTGGACAAGATGCTCTGGGATGGGTCTGAAAGGAGATGGCACAAATAAACCAACTCAAACTAGATGATTCCAAGACTCAAACCACCAAGTCATTGGCACTGCCAGACACCTTATCTCCTGCAAGGTAAAGAAGGAAGTTAGTTCTCTGTAGGACCCAAAGCTCTAGGAAGCATCTCTGAGGCCAAGAAGACTCCATGTGTTCCAGGGGCTAGCTTCAGGGATAAAACCAGGGAACCCCAGAGAGAGGGTTAGAAGTCCCATCAAACATTGGACCAGGCTGGAAGGAAACTGCCTTAGAGATGGGGTGTCAGTTACTATGTTTGAGGGGTAGAAAGGAGTGAGGATCCGAAAACCTAGAAGCTGAGATCCTCTCCTTATTCCTCCCTCACCCATCCAGAGATCTCAGGGCCTGGCAGGCTCCTGTTTTGGGAGCTTTCCCTTGGTTTTTTAGTAAGCCCAAATATCTCCCCACCCCCTTTCCAGGGAAGCCACTTGGCTCCTAACTACTGCTGTAGCTCCCACTGCTCTTCTCGCTTCACCCTATGCCAAACACTGTCCTTCTCCCTTGGGGGACCAAACTGTTACTTACCAAAGGTTGCTGCATATAACAGACTTACTAAAGTTTGGTTTCATGAAGAATTACATCACAGTGCATCCAAGAAACAGTTTACAATTACATACAACTCATCACTGTCCTTCAAAACTCCTCTGCCATGCCTGCCACCCTCTTGGCATTTCTCTATCTGTTGTAAAACCTTTCCCTCTGTAGCTGCCAGAGCTCCTTTTCACAGTCCTATTCTTTTATTCAGTGTTTGTTTGTTTGTTTTCTTTTCTTGTGGTGTGTATGTGTATGGGGGTTGTTTTGTATTGTTTTGATCTTGCTTCTCATTCTAGACCACATCCAGGGATCTCCTCAGGCTGTTTTTCTAAACAAGAGAGCAGTTCTCTCAGGGGAATTTGTTCATCTTCCCAAGACACCAGTCTCAAACTGCAGCCAGTTTTGTTATTATTGTTTAATAATACAAGTATTTTAACAAGTGTTCTTCTCCTTTTATGCCCTTCCCACAGATAATCATCCTAAGCCTTTTTAGTTTTTATTGTTTTATTTTACATTTTAACAATAGTGGCATCATACTGTACACATTTTCCAAAACTTTGTTTTTGTTTTTGTTTTCCACTTAATACCATGCAGACCCTGCCAATGTCAGTGTATAAAGAATGACTTCACACTTTTAAATGGTTGTATAGTAGTCCATAGTTTGGTTTTGCAAATTTATTGTTTGCATTTTTTCCGCTATTTAAAACAATTCCAATATGCTTTTAAAATAACACTTTTTCCCCCTCCCCATTATACTACCACCAAAGTGCCTCTTGAAAATTCACAACTTCGCCCCAATTGAACTAAGGAAAAATCACCACCGGGGACCTCCAAGCAGATGGCACCCCCTAGAGTCATGGAGTGGTAACGGCAGCTACTGCCTGCCGGAAAGAAGCCAGGGGAAAAAACTGGAGTCAGAGGAGCAGTGGCAAAGACAGAGGGTCAGAGACTGAGAGACGAGAGACTAAGAGACATGGAGATCAGGGGAAATTTCAGAGTCACAGTAGCTGGGAATGCCCATTCCATCCTGACTCTCTGGGGCTAGTGGTTATTTTATGAGAGCTTTCCCCTCAGCATCTCTCTCCACCCAATAGTTTTTTCCCACATCTGGGTTTAAGATGAGTAGGAAAGCGTAGGCAGGCTTTCTCAAGGACCCAGGCGCTACTAACTACTGGGAACAGTGCCACATACCAGACAGTGGGTCACCTGGTGGCCAGCCCCATGAAGCTGGTAGACTCGAGCCCTGAAGAACTCAAAGGCTGGCACAAGAGTCAGAAGTAAAGTCAGAGGAGCTCCCCAGCCTCCTGCCCCTTACTCTGCTAGCCCCATTCTTCCCCTCCCACTCTACAACTTCAGTAGCTCCTTCGGCTTCTTCATTAATCCCAAGTTCCTTGGTTTAGCATTCAAAGTCTTCAAACTCTGAGTTTGTAACCAGAAGGAGCCCCCAACCCCTTAACACAGGACCTAAGACATAATGGTGATTGGTGAATAAATAAATGACTGAATAGATGTATCCTGTTTTTCTGACCTGACTTCCCTCCAACTTCACCCCTCCATCCCATCTGGATCCATCCTTATTTTGCTCACTTATAAATTCATTTTTGCGTATGCTATCCCTCCTTCCTAGAATGCCCTCTTCTCTCCAGCTCAAGGTATCATCTGCAAGAAGCCCTGATTCCTCCATGCTTCTGCTTCATCTCCAGCCTTTCTCTGGCATCAAGCACACACTAACTGCCCCACATGGGAGTAGAGCTTCTGGAAGGCAGGGGTCAACCTCTTCCTGTTGCCCCTTAGTGTCTGCCTCAGGTTGTACAGGGGCAAGTATTGTCTCCACCAACCAGAAGGGCCTGGAGTTGGGATCCCTGTCTCGGTTCCTAGAGAAGCAAGAGGTTTCACAGTGGAGGCCCAACCCAGTCAGCCCTGAGCAGTAAGGTAGGGTGGTGGCCCTGGGAGCAGGACACAGCTTCCTTCCCATGTTCTCCTGCAGAAAAGCAGCGGGAGCTGGCCCGAAAGGGCTCCCTGAAGAATGGCAGCATGGGTAGCCCCGTCAACCAGCAACCCAAGAAGAACAATGTCATGGCCCGGACAAGGTAGAGGCCCCCACTACCTCACCTGGACCCTGCCAGTCAGTATCTATTTCTGCTGGTCCTATGCCTCTCCTTCTTTCCTCCCTCCTCAGGCCCAACTCCTCCCTGAGAGGAGAGAATCTCAACAGGATCCAAGGGGCAGGGGGAAGTGGTGGGTCAGGGCCCAATCCAGTTCCTCGCCAGGCTATGTGCTCCAGTTGCCAATCCAATCCCCTAAATTTTCTACCCAGGCTGGTCGTCCCCAATAAAGGCTACTCCTCGCTTGACCAGAGCCCAGATGAGAAGCCACTGGTAGCCCTTGACACGGACAGGTGTGTACAGGGATGTTGGGGCAGCTGGGCAAGCCACAGAAACTATATGAACATACAAGTGGGCTGTACAGGCCACACCTGCTATATTGTCAGAAGTGGAATGTGGGGTATTCCTCAGACAGCCAGAAGTTCTCCAAGGATGAATCTCCCAGGGAATGGAATTTTTTTTTATCTGGAGGTAGGAAAGAGCAGAGAGAGGAAAGGGGAAATGTCACACCCTGATGCTGTCCTGGGACAACTGATTCAATCACTGTCCCTTGAATGGGCCCTGATGCAATGTTCAATGTCCTGCTCCCTCCAAGGAAGGAGCTCTACTGCTAGGAACACACCTGGCTACATTTAAAGTTTGGGAAAACCCAACAAGTCGGGGATTTGAGCCTAGAAGAAAAGTGAGAGAAATGGGGGTAAAGGATGTATCAGCTCTGTGTAGAAGAAGGTTAAGGGTGACAATTCATTCAGAAGGGTAGGACTAGGGAACCTGGGCATTTGCACAGCAAGCACAGTCTTTGATTTAGATCTGCTGTTTGCTTGGAAGCACGGGGGAGGGGGGAGGTATCAACTGTTGGGTAGGCAGTGGGGTACAAGGAGTTTCCTATTTAATATTGAGGAATCACTTCTCTGTCTCTTTCTCCTACCACCAGCGATGATGACTTTGACATGTCCAGATATTCCTCCTCTGGCTACTCCTCTGCTGAGGTGAGGCCCCACTCCTTAGGACTCTAGGCACTCCTGAACAGGACCACCGCCATCCAGGAAAGGGCATGGGGCCAACACCCACTCACACCCTGAGAAGAGTAATGGGCAAAGCTAGGTGGAGGCCTGTGAGGGGTGGGGCCTGGGGTGGGACAGTGTCTGAAAGAAACTGGAGGCCATTAGAAATGGGCCTTGAGTGTGGGGATCCCCGTTTTAGGGGCAAGGTTTGAGCTTGTGGTTAGAACAGGGTTCCTAAACAGAATGGAGTGTGAAATACAGGCAATACTTTATGGAGCTAGGCCTGAAATAGGGGCCAGCCAAATAGAGGCAGCTGCCCTTTGTAGAGAGGCAGGGCCTCAAGGTTGTACCTGTAAAGAAGTGAGGCCAGAAGGGAGGCCAGGGCCTAAGAAGGGGCAAAGCCTGGCATTTCAATAACCTGGGATGGGACTGAGTTGGATGCAGATGGCCCGTGAGTGAAGCCTGACTGTGAGTGGTTCCTCCAGATCACCCCGAGCCTGACCTCCCTCCCCTTTGTCTACAGCAGATCAACCAAGATTTGAACATCCAGCTGCTGAAGGATGGCTACCGGTTAGACGAGATACCAGATGACGAGGACCTGGACCTCATTCCCCCCAAGTCCGTGAACCCTACCTGCATGTGCTGCCAGGCCACGTCCTCCACCGCCTGCCACATTCAGTAGCGGGCGAGGCCATTGCGGCCACCCGGGGCAGGGTCCCCAAGGGCCAGGTTGGACAGGGCAGGGGCCAACCCCCCCCCCAGCTTGTCTGCCTGCCCCTGGCCCCTGTGCCCCCTACAGCCGCCAACCTCGTAACAGTCATTGCTTCCTCCTATGGTAGGACGTGTACCTCTGTGTGTTCATGGAGCCGGAGAAACCAAAACCGGGTCTTTCTCCACCCCGGGGGCTGAGGAATGGTGGGGCTGTTTGTTCAGTTACTTGGGGGATCTTGCCCAGCACCCTGCCCCCCTCCCCAAAGCTGCAGTCTGGTTGAGGAGAGGAAAGACCAGACAGCAGGGAGGCCAACACTAACGAGTGGGGGGGAGGGATCACAAAGCCAGGGGCTTGACCCCACCCCAGCGAAGCCATGAGCTCCCCCAGCCCCAGCCTGACAAGGAAAGAGGCTGGGAGGCAGAAAGGCCCAGGGCAGTGGGAGCAGGGCCCAGCATCTCAGAGCCCCCTCCATGCGCCCCCTGCCCGCCCATATAACTATTTGTTTCCCCCTCCTCTCCAGATGGGAAGCCTGGCAAAGCTGCCCAGTGGATACTGCCCGCCGCCCTCCTCACCTGCCCATAGAATCACTGCCTTCTTCCTCCCCTTCGCTCCATCACCCCCTTCCTTCTCTCTGGGTTGTGGAGAAGTATGGTGAGCCTTAGAGACAGGCCAGTTTGGGGTGATATGATTTGTCCTCACCCACCCCCAACCAATGCATCTATTTCTCTGTCAATTCCTCCCACCCCTCTAGGCTTCTGTTCATTGGTCTCCATCGCAGGCTGGAAGCAGGAGGTAGGGCTGGCCTCGAATGCCCCATTCCCATTTTTCTCCAGCCTAGGATCCCAGATGCTGCTTCCCAGTAAGAATCTTCAAGGAGACAAGCTTAGGAGAAAACAGTGGTTGCATGTGTATGGTAGCGAGAATTTGGCAGGATGTGCATGTGTCTGAGGCTGTCAGGGTGTGTGTCTGTGTCTCTGTGCTGGGCCTGTCTCTCCAGATGTCTGTTTCTGTCATGGATATGTGTCTGTTGTGGGAAAGTGACTGTGTGGTCTATTAGTGATGGGAGAGGCTGCTCAGCAGTGTACTGAGAGCCCAAGCCTGAGAGTCAGAAGTGTGGGTTGTGGCCCTTATGCCAGTGCTCACTCTATCCACTTTCAGCAAGCCACCTGTGTTCCCTGGGCTTTGGTTTCCTCCATTGTAAAATGAGCAGGGTCTGAAGTTACTTTTAAGGTCTTTTCAAACCTGAAGGAATTCCTTCATAGGAATTTCTATGGAGGTGTGTGGACAAGTCTCTGTGTGTCTTTGAATACATCTATGGGGCTTTCTGAGTTGTGTGTCTGTGGAAAGGAGAGGGAAGTTCCTAAGAGACCTGGATGTATTTGGGATCTATTTGGGAATACATGTGTGTGTGTCTATGAACATGTATGTGTGGGGGTTATATGTTATGTGTGTAGCTCTATGTGGTATCTGTGAGTCCGAATGTGTGTATTGCTGCTTCTGCTGCTAGTGTTGGGGGGGGGGGGCGCAGGGAGAGGGCGGAAAAGTAAAAATCAAGAGGGAGGAGGTGATCAAGTCCAGCACCTCCTCTGACTGGGCAATAGAGACCTGCCCCCATGTGAAGACATATGAAAGCACAGAGAGCCTAAGACTGCTCAGGTCTTATGCCTCACAAACCCCATATCCCAGGACCAGGGTGTATACTCCCCATTCTTCCATGGTACAACCTACACATATTGGGATACCCAATCTCATATGTACCACCCACATGCTGCAAGCTTGCACAGGACACCCCCATGGCCCACTCCCTGGAGGGGAGGATAGTGAGGAGTGAGAATAGGCTGCTGGCTTGGGAAGGTAGCACCTCAAAACCCACAGGCTCCAAAGTTTTTGAGGTGCAGCTCTCCACCCTCAATTCTTCCCACCCTCTCATACCTCCTCAAGTGCAGGGACCCTGGTTAAGTGAGGAGAAAACATGCCAAAGGGAAGCAAGGACAAATAAGGCACCCGCGATACCTATAAGGCCCATCTCACTCCCATCTGAACCTTTCCCTGCCACCCTGGTCAGCATCCCCATTCTGGCAGCCGGGCCCCACAGCCAAGTTTCCTACCACTACTATCTTCACCCTGGGCTCCCCGTCTCAACCTTCTAGAATATGGGTACCTCCTCTTTTCCAGGCAGGGTCCCCACGAGGGCTCATTTAGACTACTGTCTTTGCTGCTGACTTGCCCTAGGACTGGCCCACTGCTTGACCTCTCTGGCCCTGAGGAACCAGGGAAAAGGTCCCTCCCCACAGGACAGGCTAGTTCCCTGGCAGGTGAGGGCTTCCAACTGAGGCAGTGTACAAGTGGTAGAGAGAAGTAGGGAGCTGGTGGCCAGCACCTTTTGGGTCTAGGAGAGTGTGTGGGTCCCTCCTTCCCTGTCTGGGATGTTGGAGGGGAGAAACTGAGGCCTTAGCTTGCCCCCTTGTCATCCTTCCCCCTTGTAGATACTGCCTTAACACTCCCTCTACCCTCAGCTCTGGCTGCCTATCAGCCAGGTTTCTCCGTGCTCACTAATTTATTTCCAGGAAGGTGTGTGGAAGACATGAGCCGTGTATAATATTTTTTTTAACATTTCCATTGCAGTATTGACCATCATCCTTGGTTGTGTATCGTGTAACACAAATAATGATATTAAAAGCATCAAACAAGCCAGCCTCATCTCCCTACCTGGGTTGTGGGCAAGGGGCAGGTGGGCTGGAAAGGGGAGAGAACTGATTCTCTGAATACACATTTCACTCTGCTTCCACTCATGGGTTCCCAGGCCAGGCCTGCCACTGACCTGCTGCATAACCTGGGACAAGTCACTTGATGTCTCAGAACCTCCATTCTCTTCATCAGAGTGAGAAGTTTGGCTTCCAGATACCCTCTGAACTCTTGGAAATTAGATTCTTTTGAGAGGCTTGAGGCAGGAAGAGGCTGGAGGTAGGGAGGGAATTGGATCTTCTCACCTCCCCAGGGCTGGGGCTGAGCCAGGTGATATCATAATGGGCAGTGCCCGTCCTAGAGAGGGAAGCAGGGTTGGGTAGGAGCAGGAAGGTTGCAGGGGAGGAAAGCTGAGAGATCCCCCATAGGAGGGGGTCACAGCAGCTAGGGGCACCCACCAGGCTGGAGGTGTGAGCTTTCTGGAAGAGGGGGTGGTCACTGATGTTCTTACAGGAGCCCTTGGTAGCCCACCGCGGCATCCCCTAGACCTCACTATGTTCCTCTTCTCCCGTAAGACCAAGACCCCCATCAGCACCTACAGTGACTCCTACAGGGCTCCTACCTCCATCAAGGAGGTCTATAAAGACCCACCTCTGTGGGCCTGGGAAGCCAACAAATTTGTGACCCCGGTAAGTGGAGGCTGGGTGGGTGGGTGGGCAGGCCAGAGTGCATGGTCATGTATGTCTGAGTGGCAGTGTGTGGTTGTCATTATGTGTAATTATTTATAGCTGTGTGTGTACACACACACACATGCATGAATGTATTTATTTGCCTAGTATGGAATTTATTTTTTTTTCTAGTATGGAATTTATAATAATACATAAAATAGTACAAAATCCTGCCCTCACGGTGCCCTCCTACTCCACCAGGGTAGGAAGTGGAGAGAGACAGATAATTATCAAGAAATAAACAAGTTTTGGGATGCCTGGGTGGCTCAGCTGGCTGAGCATCTGCCTTCAGCTCAGGTCATGGTCCCAGGGTCCTGGGATCAAGCCCTACTTTGGGCTCCCTGCTCTACGGGGAGCCTGCTTCTTCCTCTCCCTCTGCCCCTCCTGCTCCTGTGCGCTCTCTCTCTCTCTCTCTCTCTCTCTCTCTCTCTCTCTCTCTCTCTTTCTGTGTCAAATAAATAAATAGAAATCTTTAAAAAAAAAAGACACAAGTTTTATAAATTATCCAAGATGCCGTATAGGAATAAATGGGGTAATGGAAATGGAAAGTAACCAGGCAAAGCTACTTAAATATGGAGGTCATGGAAGACCCCTCTCTCTCATGGTGACATTGAGCAGAGGCTGGAAAGATAAGAGAGGACTAACCCTGTAAAGAGCTCACAGGAGAGTGTTCCAGGCAGAGTGATCAGAAAATGCAAAGGCCCTGAGGCAACCTGTGGGATATGTGAGAAAATGTGCTATAGGCATATTTTCGTGCATATATAACAGAGTCTTCTTGTGTCTGTACTTGAAGACGAGTGGCCAAGTGGGTCTGTGCAGCTTTCACAAAATGAAGACAAGATCTGTGAGTCTACTTATGACTGCCTAAAGGAATTTATCTGTGTGTACCATCTAACAAATGGGGAGTATCGACACGTGCCACGCACAATGCAGATACAGCAATGAAGGGCCAGGCTATGCCTTTGAAGAGCTCTCAGCAAACAAGTGAACAAAATAGGGTTGCCCAGTGGATGCACTGATACAAGAGCTGGATAAAGGAGAGAGCATTCCTGCTTCTTGAAGGGTAGGTCTACTAAGAGATCCTGAGGAAGGGGGCTTCCAACAGAAAAGAGGGGAAAGGACAGCCTAGGGACATGGATCCACCAAAAGTTCAGAGCTGGAGCAAAGGGAGAGGCTAGCCCCAGGTGAGCAGAGTTGCAGTGGCAGATTGGAGGGGCTGGGGCTCAGGACAGGAAGCCCAGTGAGGTGGTGAAGGATAAGGGAGAAGGATGTAGGTGAGAGATAAGAAGAGACTGTAGCAGTGAAAAGGGAATTTTTGGAATAGAGAATATTTAAAATAATGTTTATAAAATATATGCTCAATGAAGAAAATTGGGATAACTCAAAGAAGCATGAAGAAAAAAGCTCTATAATCTCACTATCCAAATTAACCGTTGTTAATTTATTATTAGATGCCATTTTAGGTAGCAAATATTTTTTATAAAAATGGGAAAAAAATGGCACCACACTGTATACTAACATTTTGAATCTTGCTCTTTTCATATAACCACATATCAGATACAATTTTTTTGTGTAAAAATATTATGACTGTACCAAAATATATTTAAGGATTCTTATTGGAAATTTAGATTATTTATAAAATGTTCCTAATATAATCATTTGTGTACATCTGTAGATATCGATTATTTCCTTAGGACAAATCCCTAGACATGAATTTTTGGAAGAAAGGATATGCACACTTCAAAAACTTTTGATATACACTTCATATTCCTGTAATAAGAATTATAATAATTTACATGCCCACCAGAAAAATATGAGTGCCTGCCTGTTTTTTGACATTCAATAATAAGGAATTTTAAGAATTAGATCAATAGATCTTGGTCACCAGCTGGGTATATATATATGAGGAGAGATTACGATGACTCCTAGGTTTAGGGCTCTGGCAACTGGAGGAATAGTAGTTCTATCAACTAAGATTTGGAGTTCATTTTGGGACAAAAATATTTGAAGACTTCCAGGAGATATCTGGATATATTTATCTGAAGCAAAGGGTAAAGGTTTGAGCTACAGATACAGATTTTGAAATCAACTGTATACAGGCAGGCAGTAGCTAAAGTCGTAGGAGTGAATGAGATTGTCAAGGAAAAATAGAAAGAGGTCAAGGATGGACTTTGGAGAATACAGATTAAGAGGTAAGTAAAAGAAAAAGAGCCACAAAAGGAGACAGGGTGATAAAAGAAAAATCAAAGAGAAACCAACAAAGACAGCATTTTAGACAAAGGTCAGTGTCAAATGTCAGCTCAGACATGGATCTCTTGGATGTAGTAATCCTTAGCAATCTGACCAGACAGCTTCAGTGAGTGAAGACAAGTGAAAGCCAGACAGCAATGGGACTAAATGAAGGAAAGGCTTCTGCTTCTGGCATTGTGTTGATCTAGAAACTCTAAAGGGCCCTCCTGCTTCAAAACAGCTAGGTCTTGCATAAAAATTAATTTTTATTTTTTTCTGGACTCTCATGGAGATGAATGGTCAGTATACTTAGGATGCCCTGAGTATGAATGCCAATATCAGCACTATAAGCAGAAGTTTAAGCCTTAAGCTAACTGAAAGGTGAATAAACAACTTTAAACTCCAAACTGAACCAGAAAGTTTAGTAATCTCTGGCTCCCTGCCCCCACCACACACACATACACACGTGATGAATGTGTATCCTCTTCAGTGGAAAATACCCTTAACATAGGTTTTCAAGTATCCTTCAGAGTAAAACCAATCAAATCTGAGTTCACAATAAGAGACATAAGGAAACAAACCACCATACAACAGCAAAAAACAAATAACAGACTAAAACTTCCGCGGACTTCAGATATTGGAATTAACAGAATACAAAATAATTATTATGAATTTTTAAAAATAAAGTGAAATCATCAAAATGAGCAAGCAACAAGCAATCATATTTTTTAAAGGCCAGACAAATGTTAAAAAGAAGTGAATAGAAATTTTAGAAATAGGGACGCCTGGATGGCTCAGCGGTTGAGCATCCACGTTTGGTCTAGGGCGTGATCCTGTGGTCCCGGGATCAAGTCCCACATCGGGCTCTCTGCATGAAGCCTGTCTTCTCCCTCTGTCTATGTCTCTGCCTCTGTGTGTCTCTCATGAATAAATAAATAAAATCTTTTTAAAAAGACATTTTAGAAATAAAAAATATATGTGTTAAAACCCAAACCTCAGTGGATGGGTCTCAAAGGGAAGATTAGACACAATTTAAGAGGTCAGTGAGATGACACAAAGAAATGGAAAAACATTCCATGCTCATGGATTAGAAGAACAAATATTGTTAACCTCTTTGACATTGGCTCTAGCAATCTTTTTTCTAGATATGTCTACTGAGGCAAGGGAAACAAAAGCAAAAGTTAACTATTAGGTCTACATCAAAATAAAAAACTTCTACATAGTGAAGGAAACAATCAACAAAACTAAAAGGCAGGACACCTGGGTGGCTCAGCGGTTGAGTGTTTGCCTTTGGCTCAGGGCATGATCCCTGAGTCACGGATCAAGTCCCACATTGGGCTTCCTGCATGGAGCCTGCTTCTCTCTCTGCCTGTGTCTCTGCCTCTCTCTCTCTGTCTCTCATGAATAAATAAATGATCTTAAAAAAAAAACTAAACTAAAAGGCAACCTACGGAATAGGAGAAGATATTTGCAAATGACATAGCCAATAAAAGGTTAGTTCAAAATATATAAAGAACTGTAAAACTCAACCACCCAAAAAATAAATAACCCAATTTAAAAAATGGGCAAGAGGGGCACCTGAGTCTTTCAGTTGGTTAAGTGTTTGACTCGATTTTGGCTCAGGTCATGATCTCAGGGTTGTGAGATCAAGCCCTGCATCAGGCTATGTGCTAGGTGGGGAGCCTGCTAGGTGAAGATTCTCTCTCCCTCTCTCTCTGCCCTCCTCCATACTCTCTATCAAATAAAATAAAATGCACAGAAGACATGAACAGATATTTCTCCAAAGAAAATATACAGATGGCAAACAGACACATGAAAAAGGTGTTCATCACTTATCAATAAGGAAATGCAAATAAAAATTATAAAGAGCTATCACCTCACACCTGTCAGAATGGCTAAAATCAACAATACAAGAAACAACAACTGGTGTTGGTGAGGATGTGGAGAAAGGGGAACTCTTTTACTCCTTCCTGTTGGTGGGAATGCAAACTGGTACGGCCACTGTAGAAAATAATATGGAGATTCCTCAAAAAGTTAAAAATAGAACCACCCTACAACCCAGCAATTGCACTACTAGGTATTTAGCCAAAGAATACAAAAACTCCAAAGGGGATAAATGAACCCCTATTTTATAGCAGCATTATTTATAATAACCAAGATATGAAAGCAGCCCAAGTGTCCATCAATTGACAAATGGATAAAGAAGATATATATTTATTCCATTATATGTTACATGAATAATACTCCATTATTATATAATATATGATGGATTATTCTTCAGTCATAAAAAAGAATGAAATCTTGCCATTTGTAACAATATGGATGGAGTAAGAGTATAATGCTAAATGAAATAATTCAGAGAAAGATAAATGCCATATGATCTCACACATGTGGAATTTAAGAAACAAATGAGAAAAGGGAAAAAAGAGAGAGAAACCAAGAAACAGGCTCTTAACTATAGAGAACAAACTGATGGTTACCAGAAAGAGGAGGTGGTAGATGAAATAGGTAATGCGGATTAAGGAGTGCACTTGTTTTGAGGAACACTGGGTGATGTATGGAATTGTTGAATCACAATATTGTACCCCTAAAACTAATACAACAACAATTAGTATGTTAACCAATTGGAATCAAAATAAAAACTTTTTTAAAAAAATAAAAAATAAAAAAATAAAATAAAAACTTTTTAAAAAAGAATGAAATGAAAGAGCAAAAGAAATCACCCAGAATGCAACACAAAGACCAAGTGGTTAAAAAATATGAGAGAAGCATTAAGTAATATGAAAGATGTAAGGAGAAGATTTCATACACATCTACTCAGAGTCCCGGAAGGAAAGAACAGAAAGAAGAATCGGCATTATCTGAAGAGAAAAGAGCTTCAAATTCTCCAGAACTAATGAAAGAAATGAATCCACAGATACAAAATAAATAGAAGAAATTTCACATTTTAGGTACCTCACAGTGGAACTGCCCAACACCAGTTTAAGAGATGACCTTAGAAACAGGGAGAGAGAGAAAAAAAAAAGAAACAGGGAGAGAGGAGTGCCTGGGTGGCTCAGTTGGTTAAATATCTGCCTCTGGCTCAAGTCATGAGCTCAGGGTCCTAGGATCCAGCCCTGCATTGGGGCTTGAGCAGGGGCTGAGCAGGGAGCCTGCTTCTTCCCCTCTCTCTCCCCATACTCGTGTACTCTCTCTTGCTCTCCCCCACTCTTTCTCTCAAATAAAGAAATAAAATCTTAAAAAAAAAAAAAAAAGTAGTGCCTGACAGCAGATCTGAGAAAGCAGAATCCAAAGCCAGTAGTGAGAAACACAAGACATAATTTAACTTAAAACTGCAGAATTAAAAAAAAAAAACTGCAGAATTTTCAAAAAGTTTCAGGAATTGGCAATGGCTAGGCAACTAGTTAAGCAGCTGCCTTTGGCTCAGGTCATGATCTCAGGATCCTGGGATCGAGCCCCACATCACATTAAGCCCCACCTGCAGGGAGTCTGCTCCCCCCTTGTCCCTACCCCCACTTGTGCATTCTCTGTCTTGCTCACTCTCAAATAAATCTTCTTTAAAAAAAAAAAAACAATTAAACCCCCAAATCCCTCTTTTTAAAAAGATTTTATTTGTTAATTGAGCAAGAGTGAGAGAGAGCACACAAGCAGGGGGAGTGACAGAAGAGGCAGAGGGAGGAGCAGATTCTGGGCTGAGCAATAAGCCTGATGTGGGTGGAGCCACCCACTGAGCCACTCAGGCCTCCTCTAATTGCCTCATATTTCATGCCATGGGGTGACTGCCTACCCCATCTCTGCAAATGTCAGAAGGCTTATTTTTTGGCGAGGATCTCAGGACTGGGGATACCAGGCCCAGCTGAAGGCAGGGTACCATATTGAAAACAAATGAACCTCCACATACTGAATGCCAAAACCCTCCAGCAGCCCTCTTCTTCTCTACTAGATTCTCAGAACACTGGCATCCTGGCCACTGTCCTCAGGCCAAAGATTGAGAGTCTCTTTTGAGGATTTGATCAGCCCAAGAGGGAAGACCTACAGATACTGACAGAATTTAACAAAAACAGTTTAACCAGACCATCTTACAATGATGCTCTTGGTTGACAAAGCCCACTAACAGCTCAAAGCCTCCAATAAGCTTTTTTAGTCTCCTATTCCTTTTTTTTTAAGATTTATTTATTTATGATAGACAGAGAGAGAGAGAGAGAGAGAGAGAGAGGCAGAGACACAGGAGGAGGGAGAAGCAGGCCTCATGCTAGGAGCCTGACGTGGGACTCAATCCCGGAACTCCAGGATCACACCCTGGGCCAAAGGCAGGCGCTAAACCGCTGAGCCACCCAGGGATCCCCTAGTCTCCTATTCCTAACTGTGAGCAGACAAAGATACAGACATTAGAGGAAAGCCTCTGAGGGGAAAACTGATGACATCTATGAGTTCTTCTAAATGACTGTGTGTGCATGTGTGTGTGTGTGTGTGTGTGTGTGTGTGTGTGTGTGTGTGTAAAGGTCAGGGGAATGCCAAGCCATGGGACTCTTTTACCCATTTGGAGTATGATTGTCCAGGATTTGCCCATAAAACAAAACCTCAACTGGGTACAGAGATCCAAGAAACACCTCAGCTGAGGGATTTTCAGGGCAGTAGGGGCACCAAGTCTCATCTTGGTCAAGAGAAACTTTTGGTCTTCAGATTATACAGGGGAAATGTGGGTAGCAGTGTCACCATCCCAGCACCTTGATGCCCACTATGAGGAAATCCTTCCCGGCCTCTGACTTTGCTGGGGGTCCAACCCCTGTGACCCAGCCATCTTTTCACACCAGCTGATTGCAGAGATCTACTGGTATACAGATAATGTGGCATTCTGCCCTCAGCTGAAGACAAAGAAGCCCCAGAAATAGGTCTTAATCAGGAATCCCACAGATCTAGCCCAACAAGGAATTGAAAGAGATAAGACAAGGTAAACCCCCAAAAGCAGAGGGACCCAGTTCCTGAACCAAGATCAGGAAAAAGGTCAGGTTAGGATAAGAACCAGGGCAAAGTGAGTCTCAGGGCCAAGGGTGATATTGCTGTCAAGATCAGAGCTACAGTAGAATCAGGGTTAGATTGGAGTCAGGGAATTAGATTTTAAATTAGGTATCCCTCCAGCCTCATCCTTCATCTCCTTTAAGATGCCAAATTCCCAGAGAGCTCTCCCTGTCCAAAACACCTGCATAAGGTGGCTGGCTCCCAGGGCAGCCAGCCTTTCCTGAGGCTACTGGTTATACCAGGGTCCTGTTGGTCTGTTGAGGGAGACCCAGGCCCTGCTCCTGGATAGCACACAGTCTGAAAGAAAACAGGAACACCCAGCTCTGCCCTTAAAGAGATCTCAGTCAAGGAAAGGACAGAAATGAGAACATCAGAAAAACACTTTGAGGGCAATGCCTGGCTCCAAGCCCCAGCCTTGGCTAGAAAGGAAGAAAGTGTGATTCAAACAAAGAACTATTCAGAGGGGGCCAAGACTGGCATGGAGATCTCTCTGGCATAGGGGAGAGACCCAACTAGGCTGACTTTCTCTATAGGGGCTGGATCTGGGTCGAGTGGACATGGAGACTGGGACCTCAATGCACCTAGTCATTTCCCCCCCTCTCCCCTTGCCTAGGGCCTGACTCAGACCATGCAGCGCCACGTGGATCCTGAAGCTCTGCAGAAAATGGTCAAATGTGCCATGCAGGACTACAGCTATAAGGGTTTCATACCAGGCCACCCCTATTTTCCTGAGAAATATTGGCTCTGTCAAGAGGAAGGTAGGGCCTCACTCCTTACCTACCCAATGTGGACTCCACTCAGAGACTTCAGCTATGACCCTTAACCTGACCCTTAACCTCTACCCTGATTCCATATCAAATTTATCCCCACCCGTAATCTGGGCTTCTCCAATCATCTCCACTCCAGCTTGATTCCCAAACACCTGATCTGATCCTAACCCTGACCCTAGAGGAGGAGATCCAGGCCCTGCTTTTTGGGAGTTTCCTATCTGTGCCAAAGAACTGGAAGAGGTCTGAGTCCTATTCCTAGAGAGATAGAGGGAGTATTAACCTCTTCTGAACAAATCCTTTCAGATGTATTCCAGGGCCATCTTTTCCCATATTCTTAGTGACCCTGTTCCACCAGTTACTCCATTAATTAATTGAGTCAAGGTCATACAGAGCTAATATTTGCAAGAGCTGAGGTTTGAACAATGTCTGTGAAGTCCATTCTATTAACCACAATGTGATATTATTTCCTCCTTATGGCACTGCAGAGATACCTGGGTGAGATCATGGGGGGCTGGAAGAAGGGATAGATTCAAATGATTTTAAGGAGGCAAAATTAGTAAACTTTGGAACCTTAGATGTGAAAGATGAGAAGGAAGAAATAGGAGAAGGATCCATTTTCAGGTTGCCTGATTCAGAGAGAGTGGTGTCAGTATGCAAAGTGATCAGCTCAAACGATCCAGATCCCACTCAGAAATTTGCCTTATGTGAGAAATGGGCTGCATCTCAGTATCTAAATCTGGAGCCAGGCTGGGCTTGACTGGCTCAAGGATATTAGACTCTAGCTTTGTCCTGGGGATCAAAGGAGGAACATGTAGGGGGACCCAGATTCTGGGGTAGAATAAGGAGTAACAATGTCTTATGTCTCCACCCCTATGATCAAGTAGACAAATGCAACCCATACTACCTGTGTGGTGACCGGTATAACTTATGGAGGATGGGACCTTACAACTGCACCGGCTGGAACAAATATAACACATGCCTTCCTCGGCTACCTAAGGTATCTACTGTGACCAGCACAGATGCCTGGGGTCTGGGATACACATCTCTCTCTATTTCTAAACCACAGTGACTGATATTTCACCATAAGTTCTTCATCCCTTTCCCATCAACAGTGCTCCAGCGCTCTTTCTCTAGTGTGAAACTAGGGTTTGTCTTTTTTAGGGGACAAGGGAACTCAGGAATGGAGCTCTCTATGAACAGCTCTTGGGTTCCCGAGATCCCAATATCTGGCTGGCCTCTGTGGGGATGCGATTAGCATGCGTTCCCTGACTTGCTACCTTCCTGAAGCTTGCCACCTGGCCCCTACATGGTCTGGCTAAGGATTCAATGATAGGTTGAGCCTACCTGCTCCACTCTCCCTCCTTTATGATGTGAGCAAGGACAAGGGGAGGGAGAACAAGGTCACCCAGTGGCAGTGCAGATAGATATAGGAGAGTCATCCAAGGAGACAGGGAGGAGACTAGCTACAGGCCCAGGCCAGAGGGAAGAGGAAATTTGAGAGAATGGGAAGACAGAGCAGAGGTTCTTAACTGTAGCTGATGGCTGACCTTGGGTTGACTGAACCCTTTTGAATCAGAATTTCCTCAAGAATCAGAATTTTTCACAAGTCTTTCAGGTGATTCTGGTGGGCAGGCAATATTATAATATTGACACTACCTCTCGCCAATTAAAGACACTCTAAGACACAACTACACAGAGTCAGCCTGACAGAGAGATAAAAATCAAAGGCAAATGCTGAGGCAGAGATGCCAGAGACCTAGGTCCAGACCCTGTCCACCTATAGCTCCACTTCCTTCCCTTCCTATCCCCCTCCCTCCTCCTCCTACCTGGAGGTAGAGCAACTGCGTTGCCTGGTGACAACCCTAAACACTCAGAGTCCGGGAGAGTAGAGGAGCTTCTGGAAGGCGGGAGAAGACATGGCCTGGGACTGGTCTGGGTGTTCAGGGAGGACCCCCAAAAGGAGGAACTCTTCTGGGTCAGAGTTTGAGGTAGCATGTGTGCCACTTCCAGGAGGCCGGAATGGAGACAGCTTGTCGAGGAATGCCTTTGCGATGCCCTCCTAAGCCGGAAAGACTCAATGCCTACGGTAAAGGAGGTGTGGCGGTAGCGGGGTAGACCAGAAGGGCGATGGTATGAGACCTGGGGGATGGGGTGGAAGCCAGAGATTCTGTAGAGGGTCTAACTCTGTCTCTATCTTTCCCTGTTTTTGTCTGCGTCTCTTCCTATCTCTGACCTTGTCTCTTCCCCTTTTTTGTAACTCTGTATCTGGGCTTGGGGCCGCGGGTGCAGAGCGCGAGGTGGTGGTGAACATGTTGAACTCGCTGTCACGGAACCAGCCACTGCCGCAAATCACTTCCCGATGCGGGTGCGTGGACCCGCTGCCCGGTCGCTTGCCCTTCCAGGGTTATGAAAGCGCTTGCTCTGGCCGCCACTACTGTCTACGTGGGATGGACTACTGCGCCTCCAGAGCACCCTGCACCGAACGCCGCCTCCGGTCTTTGTGCACCGAGCAGGAGCAGCCGACTGTAAGGTTCGCCGGACTGCTCCTGCCTTAGGCGGGCTCCGCCCCCAACAAGCCCCGCCCCCTGAGTCCCGCGGCACCCCGGTTGTGCGCACCCCATCCCTCACCATTTCCAGCTCTCCTCTGCCTTTATACCAGACCCCACCTCCAGCCGCCTCTATCCCCTTACTGGGCCCTGTCCTTTCCTGCCCTTCGGCCCCAGGGCCTGAGCTGACCGCTGAGACTGGAGAACCTGCACGAAGATTCCATAGGTTCTCGGCCCTATCCGTCCGGAACTGGGCTCAAGGTCAACCTGTACCTGTTCTGGAGGCCCTGCCAGAAGGTTTTTTTGAGGGAGAAACCCCGCAGACCAGTCCCATCCCTTCCCACACCTGGTTCCGTACCTGGGCGCCCCGCCCTGGAGACGCCGGTTCTAGCCTGCGGAGTGCCATGTGCCCTCAAAAATCAGCCGGTATTCCTGTGTCTCGGGTCACCGTCGATAATGGGCAGGGTCATGGCCGGGGGTTATGTGAGCAAGGAAATGGTAACCGCATTACCAAAGGGGTCCTGGCCTTCAGAGCCCCGCACGACCTCTGAAGGTAGAGAAACCTAGCGGGTTACAGCAGAGGAAACAGGCCTGAGCGCCTGTTTTCCTCAGCTGCAACCCAGACTGCCGCGCACCCTTCCTCCTGCATGCACCAGGTGGCAGTCAAGGCAGGCCCAGCCTGGGAGAACTTCAAAGTCCTCATCTAAGTCTAGAGAGCTCAAGTGAGGGGTGCGCGCTAGAACCTGCCCCTACTCTACAGTGATTCCTCTCGCCCTTCCCCAGGCAGAGTCTGATTAATTATGCAAGGTTGAGTCTCATCCCTCACAAGGGTAGGGGGGAGGGAGAAAGTGCCAGAGCCTTAGAAATGTCGTTAGTGCTGGAATAATTGCCCTCCAATGGAGAGGAATCAGGGCGCTCCCGGCTCTTCAACTACTGGAGGCCGACCCTTCCCAGAGTCCAGCGTGCTCCACACAGCCCAGCCTGGGCGGTGGAAACGAGGAAGATAGGGACTTTCAGGTATCTTCCCATGTTTTGATGGAATCTTGAAGACCCAGATCAACTAGCCCTAGGGCAGACACCTGAAGCGCAGCTCAGAATCTTAGTCTGGGTTTTGAGGGTAGGGAGAAATCAGAAAGCCCGACCTCTTCCCGCCCACCACTTTCTCCTGCAGGAGTGTATCGCCCTGCGAGCACCGGCCCGGAATGCAATGTGCTGTTATAACTCCCCCGCCATCATACTACCCTTGTCCGAACCTTAGGTAAGTCTGGCGCAAACACGTGCAAAAGCATTTGGCGCAGCGGGGTAGGCGGGGACCGGTTGGGGCGGGAACGGTCCGCTGCAGTGCACTGACTGGAAGATGCCACCAGAGGGTGCCAGTGCCATGGGGCCGTCAAAGCGGGCAAGGAAATGGAGGCCCCTCCATCAGAGGGCGCTAAGGCTGGCTTTGAAGGGTTACAGGTTGGCAGTAGGGCTTAGAGTCAAGAGATCGGAGCATTAAGCTCAGGGCTTGAAGTAAAGGGTAAGAGATTAATGTTAGGGAGTCAGTACTGGGAATCAGAAATTTAACAGTAGAATCTGAGGTAAGGAGGTCAGTGTTGGAGCATGGGGTCAGTATTAGGGGCAAAATGTTGGGATAGGGTTAGCACTGAAAATTGGAATCAGACCTCTGAGGGTCCAAAAGGGCTGACTCATTTCTCCCCACAGATGGGACACAAGTCACTTCAAGAAGACCGGTGGCCCCCAGAGAAACAACTATGTCGTCCACCCTGAGTTTGTGTCTGAAAACTATCCTGACTGCCACTGCTGGTAGAGCCCAGGCTGGTGGGGCCAAGGGGGCTGAGCAGTAAATAAATGCTTCACCCCAAAGGCTGCCTCCTGCATCCTTACCCTGCAGGACCTAGCAGTGAGGAGCCAGTCACTCTGGCTCTGCCAGGCCCCTTCAACTGAGATGCAGTTTCTTAGTCATCCTTCCCTGACTCTCCTTGCCCCCTTATCTCAGTACTTCCCTTGGGTGGCCCTGAGTGCCCTCCTGACACATAATAGTAGCTGGTGTCCTCCCTCCACCAGAACTAATGGGTCTACCTAGCCATGCAGGGAGGGCCCATTGACCTCCCATCCCAGAAGGGCCCTCCAGGTGACATTTGTTCAGTATCCCCCAAACCTAGATGTCCCCTCACCCCCACATCTCAGCGGACCCAGAATCTTCCATTCTACAAAGACCTGTCCCTGTACCTAAAGTTCTTCATCTCTGTTCCCAGAGTCTCCATCAGAGCCCTGAAAAAGTTTGTATTCAGACATCCTTGCTGCCCTCCCTTACCCAAGTCCAAGGGTCTAAAACATAATTTTGGAGGGTTTCATGACTAAGAAATTTCAAATTACAAAGCAAAGCTCTGTTTCTCTGTCCCTCCAGAAATGAGGGGTGGGGTGCTCTGGAATCTTTAGTATTTTTACACCCAACTCCTCCTTGAAACAGGGATGTGGCAGGGCACGTCCACCACCTCACAGCACATGCATTTCTAACGGTGTCACCACAGAGTGTGTGTTGTGCAGGGAGAGCAGAGGGGGCGTTCCAAAGCACCGAGATCCCCAACCTCATATACTATTGGTCTCGTCCAGCGGGAACCCACATTTTGGGTCACCTGGCTGGTGGAACTAGGCCCCTTCTATGGAACCCTTGATTGGATTCGCCGTGTACTGGGCCTCTGGGATCCTCCCAGAACTCTGCTACCCTTTTTCTATATGAGAGAATTTCTTCCACACGTGAAACATTTTCACATGAAGAGCTAGTGAGAGCGATATACCAAGATGGCCTCTACTTGCCCAAATGTGGAGAAGAAGGAATCCCAAGAGCCAGCCCTACCCCTTTACCCTGCCGCTCGCTCTTCCTCACATGCATACCACATTTAGCCTAGAGGTGCGAGAACCCCGACACTCTACTACTGCTCCTTCCTCCAAAACTACATTTCCCAGAAGGCCTGGGGCAGAGCCCCGCTTGCACGCGGTAAGCAATTGCCCAGGGGGGCGGGCCAGCAGGCAGGGGGCGGAGCCAGGGGACACCCGGCTGGTGGCCCGCCAGAGTTGCCCGGAGGTGGGCACAGAGCTGTAGGAGAAAGGTAGGGGCTAAGGCGTGGGGCCCTCAAGTCCACGTGACAATGTAGGCGGGATCGAGCGCCAGGGGCGGGGCCGGACTCCGAGGCCCGAGGTGAGACCCAACGACTGGGGCGTGGCCGAGCAGCAAGAGGGCGGGTCCCGAGGAGGGCCTCAGCTGTTCAGCTAGGCAGCGCCCCGCGCCGCGCCGTGGCAGCCCAACTCCAGCTAGCGTGGAGGGAATCTTCAGCAGCCTCCCTTCACCCCCACTTCTGGGGTCACTGCCGTGAGTGAGCCCAGGGGGAGGACCTGGGGGGGGGGTTGCTGAGGAAGCACACTTCCTGAACTTTCGCTCCCTCTGATGAGAAGGGGTACGAGCCTGAACACCTGGGCCCCTCCTCGAGTGGTGGTTTCCAGAGGGAGGCCGGCCCTTTGACCTCAGTCTGTCCCTCCGGACATTGTAGCTGTAGCGCTGGGGTGGGGGTGGAGTATTCCAAGCTGAAGGCGCAGTCACTCGATCCCCTCTGATCCCGTAGTTGGGGAGGAAAGGGAGATGGGCTGGATCGAGTTGCCTTTGACGTCTCCCCCACCACCCCGGAATTATGTTCGACAAACGACTCGGCTTGGCATGGCCTCCCCCTTTGGTGTCGGGCCGGGCCCTCCCCCTCGGATCCGGCTAAGGGCCGGCAGCCAAGACTAAGGTCTAGTGGCAAGTGGGGAAAGGCTTGGCCACGGCGGACCCCACCTGCCAGCATTAGCCTGTGATTGGCCAGATGACGGAGGCGGCAGATTACAGGGGTCTCTAGCGCTGTTAATACAGGAACCACAGCTCCTCCTCCATAGCCTCTGTACCAGATGCCATTAAAATTGCCCTTTTCCCACACCAAGGAGTCTTTCTGGAGCAAGCAGCAGCACCAGCCCTTCAGAAGATAGGGTTCACTATGCACACATTTCATCTGATGGGGATCCTGTCTCACCCTCTGACCCTCAAAACTCTTTTCCTCTGCTGCATTCAGATAGCCAGTCAGACCTTTATCTCTCATCTCCTAAAAATTATGCTGTGGGGGGTTAAGCTGGGACTTTGGATTTAGGCAACCATGCTACCTAGTAACTTCAAACAAATTCCTTTTCTGTTTGGGCAAGTTTCTTCATCTGTAGAATAGGCACTATAGCTCTGCCTCTTGTTCAGTATTATTGTTAAGGTTAGATGCTGTGGTAGCATTTGGGAAACCAGCACAGGGCCTGCATGGAGTAGGTGTCTAGGACTGTGGGCCCCTGTCCTTCACCAAAAACCTTTGGAATCCTAGAACATTAAGATTCTCAGAACCTATCAGAAAGGGCTTTTGAGGTCATCTTGGTGGCCTCCCTATGCTTCAAGAAATGGGTTGACTTAATACGAAAGGTTTTGGGGTTTGTTTTCTTTTAGGATTGTATTTATTCATGAGAGACACAGAGAGAAGGCAGAGACATAGGACGAGGGAGAAGCAGACTCCTCGCAGGGAGCCTGATGTGGAACTTGATCCCAGAACCCTGGGGTCACGCTCTGAGCTGAAGGCAGACACTCAACTGCTGAGCCACCCCAGGCATCCCAATATAAAAGTTTTGAAGATGAGGGCTTCTCTGTCCTCTTCAGATATAGACCCTTTCCCCTTATTCCCTCAGTGCCCAGAATGGGGCCTTGGTTGTCCTGAATGAATGAACATTAATGTACAGCAAGTCTGGCCTGGGCCACCTAAGGCCTTCTTTGGGTTCTGCTTAGCTTGAGGGCATCAGCTAAATGCTACTGTGTGCATTCTCTTGCAGCAGGGCTTTTCTGACCTGTACTTACAGGTAGGGGAAGCCATAGTAGGGTGGGGGAGTTTTGAAAGCTAAATTGTGTGGAATGAGAGGTAAAGAGTGAGAGGCTCTTCCAGACCAGTTGTAACTGACCAGCTTGGAAATTTGAGAGGAAGGAGCACAGAGAATGAGGCCCTGAGATAATATCTCCCTGGAGGAGGGAGACAATGTAGTGGGCTGTATATTGACATCTGGGATCACAATTCTGTTCTGCATGGGAGAGGTGGGGGAGGTGAGGACCCTGTGCTGTTCTGGCATCTCCTTGGAAGTAGCTAAGGACTTAGAGACAGACACTGGCATCTGAGAGGAGGCTAATTACTGTTTGCCAGTCTCCCTCTCTCTTTCCTCCCAGCTGGAACAAATGGGCAGCTGGCTGGCTGGCAGTGTGTATGTCTGTGTGTGCATCTGGCTGGTGCTATTTCTTTGTTGAACTCTGCTGTAAGGGCAGAGATAGGGTCAGTGGCCTTGGGCAGTAGATTGGGACACACCCTGCCACCCCCTTCCCCAAAGTCTATGGGTTTTTTTGCAGTCATATGTTTAACATACAATATATGAGAGTGTATGTGTGCAGCAGGGAGTGTCCACTCCTTGGAGAGCTGATAGGTGGAGGAGAGACATTGACCCAGTGTGGGTAGGTGAAAGTTCCTAGAGCAGATGGCTGAAGTATTTAGGTTAGGGAAGGAATGAGTTTGGTGGTCATAGGATAGGCCTGGCTGGAAATGGAATCAGAAAGGCAGATGAGACTACATCATGCCTTGACCCTCGATTGTAAAGCTTATACTTCTGAACTTAATTCTGGGCGTCATGAGTAGCTCTCTAACGTAGGGAGATAGAATCTCATAAGTGCTTTAAAAAGATCACCATGGTTGCCATGAGTAAGGCACTGGGGGAAAAGAAGGTAGAAGCAGGGAGGCCTATTGGGGGAAGGACTGCAATGATACTTGGGAGAAATGACAGTGCCCAAAGTAGGGCAGGGGCAGCAGGAGAGAGGGTGAGTATAGACACAAAGCCAGGAGGAAGCTGGCCAACAAATGTGTTGCCAGGGGGAGAGCAGGAAGGTTGGCAGGGAAATGGACTTGGTGATCAATTGCTGAGAACAGGGTGGAGTTTTGACAGCAAAGAGAAGGTAATCTGAGAAGTCACCATGGCCCCTATGCTAGACTTTTTACGCCAGCCCTGATTCAACCCTGCCCCTCTCCAAACCAGGCCCAAGACTAAGTCTGGCTTTGGGTATCTTCTCTAATCTCCAGATTTAACCTGGCTTTTGACTCAAGATTAAATTCCATGCCTGAGGGATCCCTGGGTGGCGCAGCGGTTTGGTGCCTGCCTTTGGCCCAGGGCGCGATCCTGGAGGCCCGGGATCGAATCCCACGTCGGGCTCCCGGTGCATGGAGCCTGCTTCTCCCTCTGCCTGTGTCTCTGCCTCTCTCTCTCTCTCTGTGACTATCGTAAATAAATAAATAAAAAACCTTTAAAAAAAAAAAATTCCATGCCTGAGATGTTCCCCCTTCCTCTCTCCTGTCCCCCCTGCCTGGACAGGAAAACCAGTCTACTGCCCTGCGAATGATCTTAAAGAGCTTCCCTCTCCCACCATGGCTTTCTGCAGATCCCTCCCCTTCTTGCCAGAAATGCCCCCATGTATGATCCAGGGAGGCCTGGCTAATTTTGTGATCCTAGATAGTTCCCTGACCCTGTGTTGGTTGTTCCTCCACCAGGAAAATGGGGATGCATGCCATCTGTCCCTCCCCATTCGGAGTCCTGACTAATTTTGGCAAAAACTGGTGCTCATGAGAAAGAGTGGGTTAGACACAGACAAATGGTCCCGGTAAGGGTCAAGCCTTTATGCCCCAGACCTTACATCCGGTAATATAACCTTCCCAAAGTATA